GCGGCGGCCATGATGAAGCGATTTGAACAATTTTCAGGTGAAGATTTATATAAAAAAAATGAACTCTTTTTAATTGTTTTTAATTATTAATTTTTTTATTTTGTTCGATGAAAATGGAATATTCTATATTCAAAGTGGAAGAAAAGAAAGATAGCCGCCGAAATTTGTTCGCCACGGGCAAGTTTAATAATAAGTCGTGGCAATGTTTAGCAGAATGTGTGAAAATATGCAAAATTGGCACTACAATTTTTAACTAAAAACTTTTTGTTTGAAGTAACTATACATCATGGTTTCACAGACGGGAATTTAAAGACCATGTAATGTCCGTTCTGCGCATACGTTCTGCACAGGCCTACATTTCAATGGTTGGGACCCGACAATTGCAATGTTATTAATTTAATATTTCGCACCTTCCGAACTTTCTTGAATTGAATCTCTAGTCTGTATTCATTTACAAGCATAGCGAACCAGTGTTAAAAATTCAGGATAATATATATATATATATATATATATATATATATATATATATATATATATATATATATATATATATATATATATATATATATATATATATATATATATTGTAACATGGCAGTGTTATACCATGTTATTTAATATATTCAATACTATATTCAATACTATATATTCAGTATACTGTTATAATTATAAGAGGAAGACCTTAGGCAACCTTCCTCGCATGAATAAGCAAATATTTAGAGAGATTAAAGAACCACGGGAAACGCCTAGTACCACAAACCACGCAAACAGGACATGGTTTTGTGGTTGATAAACACTGCTAGAACTTGCTTTGACAAACATATTGCGTAGAGGAAATTAGTCATAGTTACAGATTTCTTCCTCTAAAATTTATTATAAAAGCTGAGCACAACCTGAGAGTCGAGAGCGGAGAGTGAAGTGAGAAGAGCCATTTAGGCTAAAATACTTCATAAGCCAACAAAGGCTGAAGTATATAATTAAAAGGCTAGATAATTAAGCCTCGTCAAGTAAACTGAAGAACATTGGAATATTGTGGAATAATTATTATTAAAGAAGACGGAATACAAAGTATAAAGAATAAAGATTCAAAGTTGTGCTCAGCTCAAACAAATAGAGAGATAAGTTGATATATTAAGATTACTATATTATTATAACATTATAGAGACGCTAATTCATATTGTTGAAAGTAAATAAAATATATAAAAGGTATAAGGTTTCATGCTATTTGTGTTACGGTAGCGTTAATATAATTTGAACCCGAAGCCTAAAGGTTGAAAATATACCTAATTGGAAAATATATTTGACGCATAAATAACGCACCATAACAATATATATATATATATATATATATATATATACATATATATATATATATATATATATATATATATATATATATATATATATATATATATATATATATATATATATATATATATATATATATATATATATATATATATATATATATAATCATATTTTTCCACTGTAGCACTGAGTTCAAAATATAAACAAAGCGTTTGTTTACGTTACGGACTTTACATGGCCGTTAAAAAATCAAAGAAAGAATGCAAAAATATGACCTTTTTGAAATTACCTTGTTTGTTGTTCGTAATCCTCAGTATTTAGGCAATGTGTCCAAGTTTTGTGATTATATCTCAAAAAGAAGCAAATAATTGGTCTAAAAGTACAGTTGTGCACTATAACGTTAAAACTGTAGGGAGCCTCGTTAAGTTCGTCAGAAAATTCGAAATAATTTATCAGAATCTGCTAGTTTTTACAAAGATCATTAATCTACAAACTATATTATTCATGCAGTAACAATGAATTGGAACTAGAATTAATAAATAATTAATTCTTGGAAAGTGATTATTAATATACAGAACATCGTTAGGGCACAGATGTTACAGTATAGAGAAATGCACTCCAAAGAAAAAAGCACATCATTTAAAGATGCAATATATTTACTCGCAATTGCTGCGTTATGCAATAATTTAAAACAGGCCATCAGTGCATATTGACATTCAGACCACTTCACTCAATGATCAGGCTTTGCATTTGAATTCCTTTCAAGTAGTTAATGACCGTTCTGCAAATCCATCCTTAAAAAAATATAAATATTAAATTCGTGAATGTCTAACTTATAGTCTTGATGCTCACCACCGTCTAACAAAAAATAGTACTCCCTCTATAGCTTTGACTATTTTCCTGTCACTCGCAATGCAGACATCCCGTGAAATCAATTTAAAAATTTTTAAACTTGAAAGAACTCTTGTCCTTATTGGGCACATAAAGAATAATGGCAAATAACTCAACTCATTTCTTCACAGTACCAGACGAGGTTATTGTCTTTTTCATTTGTGTACGTGGAGCTAATAGTCTTTATAAAAGAAGCATCGTTTTAAGCCACAAAATAAAATGATATTCTTTAGTTGAATGCGTAGAAATTGGATTAATTTAATGAAATATTTATTAATTTCAATGAAATGATTGTAGGAAAATTGAATTTAATATTAATTTTGATTTAAATTAACTAACGATACCCAAAGCTTAAGAAATCTTTTCCATTTTCTTTTAACCTATTTCAGTAGGTACCTTTACTCCAAACCAAAAGCTATTTTTATATACTGATATCCAGTGTTGTAACAAGTCGAGTCATTGACTGAGACTCGAGTCGCTATTTTCAGCGACTCGACTCGAGTCCAATACCAAAAATGACTCGACTTGACTCGAGTCAACAGCCTCAAATGATTCGACTCGGACTCGACTTGCTGATTTTTGCCGTAAGTGACTCAAGTCAACTCAGCTACAACCTGTACAAAATAAATTGATCAAAAATTATTGTGATTGTATTGCTTGGCGGGAAGGACAATGAACCCTGTGAACAATGAGAGCTACGAAACTTTATCAGAAAATATATGGGGTTTTCATAGAATATTTCCCTGACGGGCATGCCTATTACATTTCTGTTTTTAGAAACAACGCTAGTGCCACAGTTTTTAAGATGGAGTCTCAAAGTGCTATATCATTTTAAATTAACTTTCAAAGCGTGATTAATTAAAGTCTATTCTTTGTTAATTCTGTCTCCAGTTGCAAATTATGCTAGTTGTATGTACTACATGCACTCGATCAGCAGCTTGGCATATGAATCATCTCATGTGGTCGTACTTAATGCTGACTAGAACTGTGATATTGGTACAGCGTAGCAGTCCCAGATACTGTAATTAAATTACTAAATAAATCATGGTTAATATAATGAGAGGGTTTGGAAGGCCGGCAAACTTCAAAGGATCAAGCGCCCTTTCATGAGCTGAACTCGATAAGGTACATCACGTGACAGTTATAGTGCATCATGGCGGTGAATTAATAGAGTGATATACTATGGAATAGTAAAAAACCTCAAGTTTTTTTTGTTTTTTCAAAGTTTTGGTAAATTTTGAGAGTTTATCACACATTGCCTGTGTAGTAGGCAACTTTTAAGACGCTTTTAAGTTCCATTGGCCAATCTGCTTCCGCTGTGTATACTATCAACGGGGTGCCAGCTAATGTGTCAGCTATCGTATTTCAAGTCAAACGAAGTCAGACTGCTTTTCCCGTTCGAAGAGATCGTAAAGAATCACGTTTTTAGTTTTGGTAACATGGATGTAGATGATGAATACGAATCCGAACCTTTAGCAAGCTCTTTTTCCGCTTTTGAAGGCGATTTTGAGCAAACCATCGTCCTTCTGGGGATGGATGTGGACGAAGTTCAAATCGAAATTCAACAATCGCTTGAAGAGGTAATATAAAAGACAATACTTTTTGATATATTTTATCATCATCATAGATATAGCATTATTTACTATAGTGTTAATATTTTAATTTGTCTCTAGGTTGAAGGAAAGAAGCAATTTCCTTGCAACTTCTGTGAAAAAGTGTGCAAGTCCAAAGGTGGCCTGACAAATCACCAACGAAGCAAACATGTGGCAGAATTGGGCGAGAGATCATCTTCGTCTGAAGATTTAATCATATCAACAAAAAAAATCGCTGGTTTAATTCGTGACATCGGTCGACACTTGATTGATGAAAAACTTTATAAAGAGGAACACACATCAGAGGTTTTTAAACTCCAACCAAGTGATTCATTTGTCAGTTTCATCAATCAGCTGTTATTAAAATTTAACAGAACAAAAAAATCAGGACAAATTTCTCAAAGAGTTTTATGGCAAAACAAATTCAAACTGGAAAGAATATTTTCATCCGTGTGGAGAAAAGAAGATTGTTTTTCTTATGCTGATCCATCTCCCTGAACGCCTGATTGGATTTCTGAAGCTAAAGCAAGATGACCAAGGGCAAGGAATATCTGAGGTACAGTTGATTGTTGTCAAAATTCAGAAGTTGGACCAACTTGTTTAGAAGTCCAGTCCAGTAAGCAAGGTCTTGCCAACATCTCATTTGGCAGGATCTATACTTACACGGTTGGAAATTGTTTGATATAAGCCCACACTTTATACCTCCTGTACTCAAGGCTGTCTAACAAGGACAGCATAGTTGGATAGCATACTGTCTCTCGATCACCACTGAGTTAAGGGCCATTGACAAATAGATTTTGTCCACCAATCGCAGACTTGTGACGCTATTGCTTCACCTCTCATCGAGGACCAATCCAATGTTTTCTTTAGCCAGGAAAGTGTCCTGACTATTTCGTCCTTCTCCCATCGCATAACAAGTCCACGATCGTTGGACAAAATCTATTTGTTGACGGCCCCTAAACATGTTACTGCATGTCTAATTAAGATGCTTTTGTGACCTTTATCAACTCCTGTTTAGTAGAGTTCTCTCTTCTGCATTGAGGGTTTTCTTCGGGTACTCAGGTTTTGCTCTCTCATTAAAAACTAACTTAGACATTAATATAAGCA